CCTATAATTAATTCAACAAGAACCGAAGCATTTTGCCGTATACTTTGTATCTTTGTATCTTTGTATACTTTATTTGAGAGGAGTTAAACTCCTGTTTAAGGTGTCAACTTCAGCGGTAATCTTACTGTATCACTCTTTGCACTATACGACTGGCTATATGATCTGCTATAGACTGTTTACACAAGTAAAAGTAGTCAGGAAAAAATCGGTTAGTCTCGTAGTGAGTAGTGTTATTTTCGGCAGGTTGCTTTTATAACAATTAAAAACCTGTTCATCATATTGCAGGTACTTGAATAAAAGAAGCCCAAAGAATTTTGTTGCCCTCTTTCTAATGTAGATTCCTCCTTTTTACAGATTTAAAAACATATCAAAATGGCGCTAGAGCCACTGGATATCTCTGAGCATGAGTTGCTCTTCAAAGCAACCAATTTATCCAAACTGGCCTCCATAGATTTGTCGCAGGTATGTGTTATAAATATTTTTCATCAAGTAAAATCATTTTGTCAGTCAATGAGAACTGGAGTAATTTTGTAGGACAAACAGCTCATATTTTTTCTGTTCTTTTTTTCTTAAATTTTAGTTCAAAACCTGTCCAAGATCTCTCCTAAATTGTTGCAGGCTCAAGAAATTAATTTCAAATTCTGAGTATTGCATTAGAAAACTGGTTTTCTCAGTTGATATGAAGTGTGCTCTATATAATTAATAATTAACATTTTCTGTATTTTAAAATCCAGGAGGACAGGTCAAGAGTTGAAATATTTGCTGAGTATTGTTCTAAGAAGCGAGAACCTGTTTGCGGTCAGTTTTTGAACTTGTTAAATGGATCTGATGGATTGATTGTGAATATGTCTGCCAGAATAATCGCCAAGATTGCCTGTTGGAACCCATCTGCCAATTTACTTGACAGCTCTCATTTCACTTTTACCTGAATTGGTTGAATGGACAATTAAAATTGAGTGTAAGTTAAATGGATCAATGATTTTCTGTTTTTACTTCCAATTAATTCAGTAATGCATCTGTTGTCCTCAGAATTCTGTTTCTGCAGGTGCAAAAAGTTCTAAAGCATCTTGCCTTTGCCACATAATCCGGCGGTCTCTACTTCTTAGCAAAATTCCTGATGAGAAAAAAGAGAGAAAAAAAAGACATTTAAAATTGCATCACTCGATGCTGATTGTTGATGATTGCTTATTTCCTGTGATTGCTAATTTCCTACGATATAACATAAAATAAATAAGGAGCTAGGTGGCACAATGGTGTGGGGGAGCGCAGGTTGTTCTTCTCGTAAACTGATATTTCCATACAGCATACCATAAGGCACTACTGCACCAAATTTCATGACAGTATTTCAAGATTTGAGCAAGATACAGGATTTTTTTTTCTTTTTTTGCAAGGTTACGATTCTGTGACAATAATCATCTAGGTCATGACTGTTATCTGTCAAAATTTCTGTACAAATTCTCCAGATAGCTGAAAATTGGCTGGTCTTTTAAGGTTTTTTCAATGCACGACCCCATTATAGCTGAGGAAGAGACCCTTCTCACAAGCAGCGATGGTGAAAGAGTATGTGAGGCTGAAGATTCATGATGAC